ACACCTTGAAAAACTGAAAGCTAAATTAAGAAATTAAAAATTATTATTATTATAAAAATGAATTTAAAAAATTAAGAATTGCTTGGTCCAGACTCTATTTTTAAGAACAAAGAACCTCCCGCACCTTTTCATATAAAATTTGTATTGTTATTTAATGTTATTAAGGTTAAAGTAAAAAAGTTAAAGTTATTAGAACATAACAACTCTTTTAAAATATGTTTTTCTAGGCTCTGTAGATTTTTGAAATTCCGCTTAACAAGATATTTCCTTTCTTTCTTTGAATTTTTCAACTAAAATTACATGCGTGAAAGCACCACTTCGCGAGACTTATTACCAGGAATTTTTGAATTTTTAACATCAAGCTTACAGCAATAAAGCTTACGATTTTAGAGAAACCGTACTGGTAATGCGTGCATAATGCATAGATATTCCGATACCAATCACGCGAAACTTTATAAGCGTGTTGCAAATCGCGCTTAGCAAAGGCAGTCTGTTTCATATTAATTCGAAAAAAGTGAAAACCTGAAATGTCCTTTGGTTAGGTCGGTCTGTGATGAAATGGAATCCAGAAGCCTCTCAGAAGCACTCACTGAATATTTTATAAAAGTGTTATTCCCTCGCTGACGTATATCTCTTACGTTCTGAATTGCGCGAACCTAAACCGATCATGGATATTTTTCGACTGGGTAAACTTAAGCTGCCGCACGTAAACGGATTAGGATGAGATTTTTTTTTCTTGACTAGTCAATCGTTACGGTTTTATTTTTATAGGTGCTTATTTTGTGTAGCCCTTCAGGTGAGGATTTTCACCCTTCAAATCTGAACAAAAATTTTCAAAACTAACTTTGGTTTAACAAAATATTTATTTCCAGTCCATACTATTCAGTTATTCTCTACCACAAATAATGGATATAGTCGGTACCATTTGTGATGGCATAGTCGGTAATAAAATGCCAGGCAGAATAAAATTATACTTCAAGAGATGCTGTTATTACTTGGGAGTACGAGAGACAGAAACAGTTGTACTTGGCATTTATTAATTTAACTAGTACATCCATACTCAGAGATCGATTCATGTTTTATCCATGTATTAATAGATCAGGGTGTTCCTTAATGCGAATGAGAAGGTTTAAGTACTTGAAAAAATGATATTTTGTTAAATATTGTCCAAAAACTCTGTCCATGAGGTAAAAATTAAAATATCAAAAAGTCTTAAAATAAAGAAATATATGTCATACCGTATAAAATATAATTTGCCAAGTAAACCATCTTTAGTTTGTATTTAGGTCTTCATTACCGGTTTTAACGTTATACTAAGTATATTCTCTCTCTTCGACTATCATCGTGCCTTGCCTCACTTACAATATTTTCATTAAGAAAAAATAAAAAATGTTTTGCACTAAACCCACACCAATCCTATGACATTAAATAAACAATAATAAGGAGGCAATCTGAAAACGTCATGATCCATTTCAGAAATTATTTCATCTCTAGCATACTGCAAGTTTGTTGCGTAATTTTTGTCAATTTTTACCAACTCACATTTTAGACCATTTTCTGGGAAATTAATCGGCTTACTGCGCAGCTAATTGACAATTTACTCTATTCCTGTCGATGCTTTGGTACACTTTCACTAATTCTAAGCCCATAATAATTAAAGACGGCCTTTCGAGTTTCGGCAGCAGTTGAAACTACTGTAATTATTCGGTAATTGGTACTATTTCTGAGGAGTGTAGTAGACCGGAGCGTAAAAGATACAGGGAGAACACTAGCCAGGTAAATGAATTCGTTTTGCCATTCTTAGTGTACGAGTAGAAGCAGGTAAAATACTGAGGCACCTTCTCTCTTGGTTTTACGATCGACTATGCCATCGCAAATCGTACTGACTATAGTTAATGAAAAGCTGTCCTTTAATAGACAAACGACAACTTTTTCAATATGAAGTTTTCGGCCACTGTATCAAGAATCAAGAGAATTTACCCATTAATTTAAAAAAAACAACCGCTCTTTTGTCTGATTTTTTTGTATCCAGAATGAATAAAAATGTAACCAGTAATGAATAAAAATGAAGATCTGCGGATTTTCTTAGCCCTGATATTGCTAAAGGAAATGTATTAGCTGGACAAAAATGCTTTTTTAACCTTTTAAGAAACGCCGAAATTAGTTTTTTATACACTAATTACCTGCGTAATCCAGAAAATATTTTACTTTTTGCAGACAACATCTCTAGTTTTATTTTGCACTATCATTGTCCTACAGAGAAGCTTGAAATCATCTGCGCAGAGATTATGAGGAAATGAAAATATTTATTTTAAAAAATGTACATATAGATTAAACTGTTCTACTCTTCGCTGCCGTACTGGGTTATATAAATATTACAAATAATAGTGAAGTACCGTTCCTGACAGAATCGCGTTCTAACAAGTATATAAAAATTAGAAGGTAAAAGTTAAAGACTTAGCGCAGATGGAGCAGGCGTGGCGGCGGCGTTGTGGGTGGATGTGGTTGATCTGTCGCCGTCCCAGCGCGACAGATCAACTGCTAAATGCGCGATGTATAATAGATCCTTCCTTGAGGACGCATGACAAGGGACAATAAGATCTGGCCGGTGCAAACGCCCAACAGAATCCCTGATGGAGGGCTCTACCTCGACCTCCCAACCCTTCAGGCGGCATGCCCTGGTCAGAATATATACAGCAATCTTTGGATGATGGGTAGCAGGGCAACGCTAATGGACGTGGGATAAGGTCTCGATCCCATTACAACCAGCACGGCAAAGTTTCATGTGTTGGGTGAGACGGGCATTGTGAAGCCTTCCTGTGGTGGGTATGGTGTTTGTCCTAAGTTGGATTGCTCGGACGTAATCCTCACCGGACCAGCTCGGTGACCAATCAGAAATCCATCGATTGACCGCACAATGGTCGTAAGTTCCCTGACGTATTCAGTCTCAAGGGCAGCCCGGAGCTGCGAGTTTTCCTCACTTAAAAGACGCCCGAGCCCCCTCCAGATCTCCTTCGTGCGTATAATAGCGCATTCGGTGTCTGTACTGGAAGGTGTAACGCACCCTTGACAAGGGCGCGAACGGTCTTGTCTGCGCGGTACAGCGTTGGTTCTGGGGTTTTATAGAGCGAAGAGCTACTTCGGTAAGATGTACTCATGAAGCAGTCCCCACTTTTGGTGCGGCTTCAGTGGCGCGCGATGCAGATTACCCAAGCCGAGCTCTTTTCGGTATGAAGCGAAAGTCAAGAAACCGTCGTACCAATCGTAGTGCAACCTGGGATTCTCGCGCTGAGGGAGTAAGAAGGAATAGATCATCTGCGTAAGCCAAACAGGATACCGTAGTGTCCTCAATTCTCGACCCGTTTGGGAGCTGGGATAGCTGGGATATGACTTCATCCGACACTAGGTTGAAGAGGACCGGGGACAGAGGATCGCCCTGTTTGACGCCCCTCTTAATTGATAGTACCTTAATCTTGAGATTGCTAACAGTAATGTTGTTAGTATATCACGTAAGTCCGTCAAGGATGAAACGAGTGACGCGCCAGTCTACCGAAAAGCGGCGCAGGCATCGTGCGATGGCAAAAGAACTGTGCAAATCGAGGGCGGTGATGGAGTATGGCCTGTTGCGCGTTCTACACTTTTTGACTGCTGCCTGGAGGATTATAGTGTTAGCCACTGTTCCGTCGAGATTTCGGAACCCTCTCTGCGCTGGGTGAATAAGTAGCACAGACCAGCGTGCGGCTAATAAACGTTGAAAGGTCCGAACGAAGACGTTATTGGGCGCCATGAACTAACGTTTTTATGGTCGCTGCTACCCTTGAAGATGAGGGTAGTACGGCAACCTTTTAGCCAAGTAGAATGACGCCGGCGAAAAACGTGGCGTTGAAAAATATTACCACACTCCTTACCGGCAGTCTACGCAGGTCGACAGAGATCATGCCGTCGGGTCCTGCGGCGTTGGAAGCTCTCAGGCACGAATTGCCGTTGCTCTGCTACCTGAGGAAAAGAAGTGGAAGTGCATAAACTGCAATGCGGCACTTATTTAACTCTGGTCGCAGCAGTGGTAAAAAAAAAACTAAAAGTAACTCAAGCTCGAAATGGATTTTTTTAAAATAATCCAAAAACTCACCACACTATGTAGAGACCGGTGATTATCAAGCCATACACCCTGAGATGCTGAAACTGGATGATAGAGTGCTCACAGAGGGTGGGAGACACCTCAAGTCGACGATTTCCGTAGTTGTTGATAAATAATGACAACTAAAAGCGGCACTCGGGCTGTCGCGTTCGAACAGGGAAAACCGTACTTTTTTTACAATATTTACAAACACTTAATGAGGTTTTCTGTGTACAACAGCGTACAAAACTTTACTAAATCACTAAATTAAGATGGGTACTTCCGTCCACTTTTCATTACAGTGTAATGTGTATTTAACCCGAAATAGTTTTAATTAGCCAATCGATAACCTATTTCTCTATAACTCAAAAGTTATTGATTAAAAGTATTATTTCGTTTAAATCCGTTTTTGAACTTAGTATTACACATGTTGTCTTTACTTGCCCTCGGAATCAGCGTCCATTTTAAAAATCTTCGTCCAAGTAGAAATTAACCCAAATGTACGACTAATCTACCACAAAAAGAATATAATTGTTTTCTTTACTATGCCTTGTTTGAGGATCAGACATGCCCTAATTTCATTTTCAGTCATTTATTTTAAGGATATGAGTTTATTGAATTTCACCGCAATGTGCACTGTTAACAATAATTGTGCAATCTGACATGGTGTTTATGGACCAGAGATATTAAAGATCAAATTTAGGTTGCGGTTGACAAATTTCATTTGGAAATTGAGCGGTTTTATGTTGTGATTGTATTGACGTATGTGCCATTGTTAGTATGTATAATATGTAATACGTAGATAGTAGCGCGGTGGATCATTTTAAATTCGCTTAGTGATTTTCGTATGGAATAAACTTCAATGTTCTTTTTATCGTTTCAGGACGATCAACGGCTAGTCCCCCGGTATTCACGACGTCTCCGGATCAGCAAGCTGCCGCCATCGTTCCCGGAGCGGTAGCGTTCCGGGACAGAGATGCAATGACGAGAATGTCCCAAGACAGTCCCGTCGGAACACTGGCATACGTCGTGGAAGAAGAAGCCCTACTTGTCAGGGTGAACGGGGGATGGCAATACATAGCTGTAAGTTATTTTAACGAGTGTATTTTTGTGGAAATTTTTCCTCTACGCCTGAAACAAAAAACAATAGATTAGGTTTTTAGCGTTTTACAAATCGTACAAACTACGTTAAAATAACAATACCACAAAACCATCAAGGTATGAAAAGAATCCAACAGACTATAGGGTGTTCTACACTAATATAATGATCGGCACTATTATGGTAGAGGTGGGAGAGTTCATCCATTTATCACCTGTCTGATGAAGTGCACGACATTAATTAATCACAGCTGCGTGACCATGACACGAAGACGAGAAAAAAGGTTAATTGAAACGATCGCGAGAGTGAAGAAGTAGTTCAACTTCTGGGTGACATGAATTCACGGCTGCGTAAACCCGAGAAGAAAATTATGTCTCCGTTACTTTAGCGCCATCTATCGCATCAGTCAATTGTATCCCGGCAAATGTACCCGAAACGCCTATACCATACTACTACCAGTTGTTCAAAAAATACCTAAAATACCTAATCTTTTATGCTACTATTAACTGAGTGTTATGAAGTGGGTGTTTATATGATAATGACTGTGTTAAAATCTTAACATAAAAAAAATTGAATTAGAAAAAAAATGGATTTCAACCCAAAAGTACTTGACGTTCTAGTGTTCTATACTTTACGTATGGTTGTATAATACTCCATTTTAAGAACTGCACATTTAGGACTAACTCTCGCCTCAAAATATCTAAATATATGTAAAAGTAGGAACTAAGCAACAATGTAACATAACCCACTTTCATGACATCTCGTGTTTGTCCTCTGGCGGTCGTCCCTATTGACAATTTTACTGAGAACTTCGCAAAGAGCGCCTCAAACGGGCTGATATTTACATCTCTACAAACACAAGCCCTCCCACCCTTCCCCCCATTTCCTAATCATCCTGTTTTGTTTCCAGTTGGGCTCGTTGCTGCCAGTTACCACCCCCGCGCCCCCGACTACCAGCGCGCCACAGCTTCATCCCCCGTTCGAGGCAAGCAACTTGATTAATCACATATCCAAGCCCGCGGAAGTTGCGAGTGTAAGTAGATACGAATTATAAATAATTCGATAATTAATCGAGATAAGTTTATACGTCCTTGGTCCACCGTTTAAAGTCCAAAACATGTTTTCGCTTGTTTTCCAACCTAATGAGCGAATCGGTTTAAAAGCAAACGCTCGTTCGGCTAATATTCCCACATTATTTTTGTCACGTGAGGCATTAGATCTTCCGATATTTTGCTATTTAAAATGCCGTTACCGTTTATGGCCTGATCCCAGGTGACTTACTGGCGTGGCTGGAAAATAAACGACCCAAAAAGTGCAACAAATTTGAAAATGTCGTCTTTTTAACAACTCTGTTAGCTGTCGCGTTGCTATAATAGTTTATATCATTACTCCAGTGAGATAAAACAACAGCTCGATATATATTTTTTTATTTTGTTATTATATAAATGCAAGATTGGGTCTTCTGGTGGTTTATTAATTACTTTTTACAGATACAATTCTTATTTGAAATCATTTACATACTATAAATTGGTGATAAAACAAGATTTATAAATTATAAAAAACCTTCGGAAAAAGCGCATACAAACTGATATTCAAATGTTTCAGACGTTCGAACGTTTTGAAAAAATACGTTTCACAGAAGGATTTTCTCTCGGAAATATTTTATTTACATAATCATATATTTCCATATTTTATTTATGCAAATACAGTGATTCAAAAAACATACGCCAACATTCGGGTGGAGATGCGTTGTTTAAAAAAATATCAAAGAAATGATACCCATTCTCGCACAACCGGTTTTATTTTGAAATATTAAACACCGGAACTTCGAAAGTAGTTCTAGACCGACGACTTAAGGTTTTTAAAGGTTTTTAAAAAACACCTTTTATTGTTTCACAAACAGAACTACGCGTTTTTGAGTAGGCCGTTACAAGGTGAATTAATTGCAAAGCACATGTATTTATGTATATATTTATAATGTTTCTATGGAACGTCCCGTCGCAGATACTGAAAATGCTTTCTTGTAATCATCAGCATATTCTATCACATAATTTGCGTTGAAATGTCTTTTTTCTTTTTCTTCTTTTTTTAATGACGCATCTCCACCAGAGCTTTGGCGCATATTTTTTGAAACACCGAATTACTGCAAGCATATTCAACATATGCATTTACAATTTTACAATATGTTTATTAATTAACAACAGCACGAAGTTTTTAGTACATACACAAATTGTAGACAGGTAGAAAAAATGATCACTGCCCATCTCACGCAACAAGAAAATTTCTTTCTATAATTTTGAAAATTAATGAAAAAAAAAGTGCATAAAATTTTGTGTAAACAATGAAATATAGTACAGTAAAACACTTGAAAAAAAGTGCATAAAATTTTGTGTAAACAATGAAATATAGTACAGTAAAACACTTGAAATGTTGACAACGGCATATGGTGAATCTACTTTAAGCAAAAAAAAAAAAGTTTATAAAAGCGTTGAAGAAGTAAAACAAATTATGTTAAAAAATCGTCGAATCGCTATTAGGGAAGTGGATGAAGACGTTGGCTTCTGTATTGAACAAAAGGCCATAACTGGTGACGAATCATGGGTATATGGTTATGACGTCGAAACCAAAGCCTAGTCGTCCCAATAGAAGAACCCGGAATTGCCAAGATCGAAAAAAGCACGTCAAGTTTTTTTCGTTTTCTTTGATTATCGTGGAGTGGTACATCCAGAGTTTTTACCATTTACCACAAGGTCGTACGACCAATAAAGAGTATCGCCTTGAAGTTATGCGCGTTTGCGAGAAGAAATACCAAGAAAACGTCCGGAATTGTGAGAAAACAATTCATGGATTTTGCATCACGCTAATGCACCTGCCCATTCATCGTTGATTGTGTCTAACTTTTTGGCCAAAAACAAAACCATAATCATGCCTTAACCACCATGTTCACCGGATATGGCCCCTGCGATTTTCTCCTGTTCCCAAAACTCAAGAAACCCATGAAAGGAAAGAGGTTTGGAACAATTGAGGAGATAAAGAAGAAATCACTGGAAGAACTCAACACTTACCAGGAGTGCTTCGAGGATTGGATAAAAACTTGGCACAACTGTAATATATCTGAGAGGGTTTACTTTGAATGGGACAACATTAATTTCGATGAATAAATAAATACTTTTTAATAAAACTTAAGAGACTTCGTACCTTTTGAACACACCTCGTATATTATTATTTTTTCTGAAAGATCTTCTGTCTTATAGTTAATACTTAGCGATTTCTTCTTTATGTATAACGCTATAATATTAGTTGGCCATGACAAAACAATTTGTCAACAAGGCTCGGTTAAGATTAAGAAATGAACTGAAGAAAGCACTTTGTTCGAGCCGCAGATAATACAACAGACAGCAATGCAGCAATTTTGGTGAAAATATCGGCCAAATCTTAAATTCACAGAATATGTCAATAATATTAAATACTTATTACTATAAATTTAACTTACCTTATTTTTAATTTTTATTAAAATATGCCCATATGTTTGTTTGTATTTTTCGTATATTTTCTTGGACGTTCCTTAGCATCAACGGTGTTATTAACCTGCACGCGTCCGTCCTATACCTTCTGGTGTTGTAGAAAGCTTCACATAAACACGAACTTTAATAAATTCCCAGCAAAGGCAATCTATTGGTATCAAGTCACATGATCCAGGAGGCCATCCAATAAATATCCTTCTACCGATCCATTTTTGTGGGTTTATTATTTAAAAATTTTCGAACTTCTGGAAAGTAATGCGGACGAGCTCCATCTTGTTTAAACCACATTTATTGGATCTCAATATTCTCAATTTCTTGATGAAGTTGAGGTAAATCATTTTGCAAAAAATTGAAATATCTAGACCCGTTTAGTTGTCCAATAACTTTAAAGTATTTTATCCCACAACACACATTACTTATCACTTAATATTACAAAATAAATTACGTATGCGAACGACTTGCGGCTTTGTCGAAATACAGGCCAGGAAATACTGAAGGCCACTTACCAATGGCCAAGGTTGAACAATACCCTTTGTTCAAAATGACAATCTAAAACTTCTTGGTGTAGTTCCATATGGAAGCGATGATATTAGTGTTTTCTAGATTGTACCACATAAGCTAAATACTTGACGGCTACTGAACTGGGGATTATCTTGAACTTCAAGTGAAATTCTTTTTACTCATTACTCAATAATACAATTAGCATCAAACGGTTCCATTAAACACTGAAGAGATTGTCTAGTTGGTATTCTTAGTATTAGGGTACTTTATCTTGTAAAACCTTACTGCTGAAAAATGAATGAACTAATTCATCTTTAGGAAAATCGATACTTAATTTCTTTTTAATTTACTTTACACCACAAAAAATTTTATGAATTTATTTACTTAGTTGTCAGGTAAAAACTTTATGTCATTTTGTCATAATATGAATGTTGTGCCAGTTAAGAAAATCCACAGTTTTCAGTTTAAAATGATGCAATTATATTTGTTTATTTTGAACACCCTGTAGCATCTAATTCAGATTCCGTTGAATATATAAATAATACTGTAAGTTTTGGAAATAAAAAAAGTCGTTAAGAATGAAAGCTGGCAAATTAATTGTAAGATATCTGGTAAGATTCTTATATATATATATATATATATATATATATATATATATATATATATATATATATATATATATATATATATATATATATATATATATATATATATATATATATATATATATATATATATATATATATATATATATATATATATATATATACATATATATATATATATATATATATATATATATATATATATATATATATATATATATATATATATATATTATTTTTTTTTGAAAAATTAAAATATTGGAAAAACTATTAGGTTAGGCATATATTATTATTAATTAAAAAAAATAAAAAATTAAAAAGTTATATGTTTTATTCGTCACTCTTTTTTGAGTCACCAAAATAATTTTAAATTGTGCATCCTAACAAGTTTTCCAACTTTTGTATTTACCATTTTCTAATAACTTTTTTTTAAAACCAATGAGATAATAAACCTTACTCTATCCTTGCCTCACCTTGCATGTATTTTCTCAAGTGAAGAAATAAATGTCAGAGATATAATTTCTATCCCTTTTTTGTATTTACCTGTTCTTATAAAAAATCACTGATTGTCGTCCACTTATATAATAATACCTTCCACCATATGATTACGTCGTTACATTTGAAAATCGGTTAGAAGGTTAATTTGCTGAATGAAAAACAAAGAAATGAAATAGAAGCAAGTAGCCGTTGGCGGACGCAGAAAGCGAAAATTTAATTACAAATTTGTTTGTTCACAATTTTCCTGGAAATATTTTAATTTTATTAATAGGAAAAGCCTGGGAAGATTACTTTGTTAAAGTTTTTGTCGATGTGGTGAAAAGCTGAACATCATGAAATAATCACGACAAGATGGCGGGGGCACCGAGCAAGAAGAAAACAATAGCCACAATAATTATTAATTCACACGTCTGCACTTAACATTAATGCAAAATTTATAAGGAACAAATTAATTAATATTTGGGCCATCCCGGTCATGCCGACTCGAAAAGACCTTTGAACGCTTAAACGCTAATTAAAATATTTAATTCACGAACTAAATTTGTTCTAGTGCAAACTGCAGTTAAATTTATTACGGCCTAGAAATTACTATTCCGAAATGCGCCGTTGCAGTCCCTTTCTCGGATCTTTACCTAAACCGCTAATTTGTAATTTATGTAATAATTTCAATTATGTTGTGGTTAAAACTAACCGAAAAATTCGATGGCGCGAACTATTCGAAAAAATTGTAATCTGCCATTGGCGTCGAGATTTACAATCAACCAGCATTAAATGTTTAAGTCAGGTTTGGCTTGATGACCGTCGTGTCGCTGATTTCAGGCTATCGTATTCTAGAACTGACCTTCAGATAATATCCGTAATGTTGGGACTGCTCAAGTGACCGTGGTCAATTGGCGGGTCAATTA